CTGAACAGATGGACTAGAACAAGCGTTCACCTCGTGCTCCGGGCAGACTGTTTCGAGATCGTAGACAAAATAAAAAAAGCAGTATTGTATCTATGTATACATGTATATATTTATATAATATATATACACACACACTCATATATAGCCAGCTTTCCTACAAGTCAGCAGGTACATATTACTGTCGAGAGCACTCGGATGTGTATTTTAATATTCTACCAAATGTAAAACCATAATGGCAACGTGGCAACACGCATCAATAAATAGAGATCAAAAAAAAAAAAGAAGCAAGAGGTTAAAAAAGATGAAATTAAATACAGATTCTAGCTGTGGATTTAAAATCAGAACTATCGAAGAATGTGGCATCCTGCGAGTTAAAACTGCAGTTAAAAAAAAGAAAGTATTACAAAATAAACCAGTAGACTGTTAACAGTTCACATTATAAACCCTGGTGTCCTTCTCCTGTACGCACCTTGGGAAAGGGCAGCCTGTTCAAACCAAGAGCTGGGGAATGTGGGGGAGAAAAGAAGAGGAAATGAAATAAACCCCGAAACCAAACCTGCTTTCACAGCGCCCACTTCCCAAAGTCCCTTAAACATCCCCGGCTGGGCCGAGGGTTTTGTTCGTCCGCTCTTCTCTGCTGAAGATGGGAGCTGACTGGGAGCCGGCACCAGCCCACGCCACAGGGCAGGAGCTCCGGCGGGGCAAAGGAGCTGCTTCCAAAAGCTAACGGGCTGTGGTCGTGCATGTGTGTGTATTATATTATATATAACCCACTGGGGTAAGACTTTTCCCTTACTGAAGCTGCAGGTTTCTTCATCGCTAGCACTGGTTTTTACAACGAAAGGCTTCCACTAGCGGGTCAAGCCTTTGATACACGGCAAACCCTCCCCCCCAACCCTATGGCAACCTATTTTCCTACCACGTTGCCCACTCCCCATCCTGAGCCAGGGCAGTTCTTCAGCCAACCTGGGATATGGATTCACTGACAAGAAACGCTGAGCTCTGTTGAATGACCCCTGCTAAGCTCCCGACCAAATTCAAGCTGTGCAACTACATCAAAGTCTGAAACTTCACTTAAAAAGAAAAAAAAAAAAAAAGGGGTTAAAAAAAAAAAAAAAAATTTCAGCAGAGAATGGGGTTTGGGTTTGGTTTTTTTTTCTTGGTTTTTTTGGTTTTTTTTTTCTTTTTTTTTTTTCCTTCTTTCTGTTGTGGGAGAGGGCATGAGGCAAGAGTCCTGGTTCTGAAGTACACAACAGCAAACTTCCAACATGAAGAGATTGTCGAGGGGAGAGACATTGGTGTGTTGTATTGCTCCGCTTTCCCTCCTCCCCCCCCACCTAGTCCCCTGCCCCGGACACCCTGCAGAGTGAGAATACAATGAAACTGGTTTGTATTTATAGATATTTTACAAGGTTAAATAAGAACAACAATAATAATAAAAAATTGAACACTAAAATGAACAGGTTGGTTGGTTGGTTTTTTCTTTTTTTGTTTGTTTTTTTTTTTTTCTTGGGTTTTTTTCTCCTCTTTTTAATTTTCTTTCCAAATGTGACCAGTGTTGCTGAGCAAGACTCAAATTACTGGTGATTTTTCCTGTGCAGCTGGCTGCTTGGTACTGGTTCAGGTGGAGTTGGAGGCTGATGCTGTAGCTACACTATTGGTCTGAACTCGTTCTCCTGCGTTAACATCTGCAAATGACAGACGAGAGGAAGGGAAGAGAGAAAAAAAACAAGCAGCATTACCTCCAAAATACAGACACATCTGGAAACAACAGCCACGACATTCTCTGCACAGGGAAACCCACAACTCCCACTCTTTGGTTAGGATGCTCTCCTGGGGCACGGATGGCACAGTTTGGTCTGGGGAGAGGGTGGGAAGGTGGTCTTCAAGCTGGACAAAGGCTGAGGGGTGCAGGCCAGCATGCAAACACCCAGCTGGGCTCTGGCAGACTTTGTAGGAGGTAACATTGCCCACGTTACATTCCAGTAACTCTAAGTGCAAGACAAGGCGCACTTGCATCGCCAAAGCTAACACGTACCCATGGCCACCACAAGGTTTCACACTGGTGCTGATATTTTACTGTCGGGCCTTCCTGTGACAAAGCTGCCTGGAAAGGGTGTGAATGAGTGCAGACAATGGAAGCAACAAGCCTGCTTCCCTGGCAGAAACAGCTTGAGTGTTCATGTGCGATTCATGCACTTGTTGCCTCGGAAAACGTCTTTCAAGTCTACTGCTTTATTCCACGCTGCTCAATCAAAGTTGGATCTGCCACCCTCCGAACTGCTGAAGCAGATTAACATCAAGGCCTGAAGCCAGTACCGAGGTTTACATAAGCAAATGACACTGTCAGAGGGTTGGCTCTGTGCAGTAAATGGTCTCTAGTGCCTTCTCTTCTCTGGGAGTGACAGAGCTCCACAGAGAAACAAGTCACAGGGGCGTATGTCAAAGTGCATCTCAATAAAACACAGGGTTTGCCAAGAGATACCAAAAGGAAATTCACTGTAACTGTGTTTTCACAGGCCACGTGCATCAGATATTTTCTCTAAAAAAAAAAAAAAAAAGTGTTCTTGGTATGAGAAGAGCTGGTAGGGAACAAAAAATGCACCAACTTCATCTTAAACCACTCTACACAGGATCTAATTAGTGCAGTCACAAAAAGGTAAGTGGATGAAAGGTTAAACACGTAAAATACTCAATACGATAAATAAGAGATGTGAAAAAAGATATTGAGAGGCTTTCTGCAAGAGACCATCATGCATTTCTCCCACTTGTTTTAAGTAAGGTTAACTGCAAAGCCACCCATACTGCAACAGGGGAAAAAAGGGGCCAAGACTTAGTGCAGAGGAGGGCAGACTGGGCAAAAAGTGCATACAAAAAGACATGGGAAAAAGGCTCATAGAAAGGAAGAACAGATTTACTGAGCTCAGACTGAAGGAGAGTCTGAGTAGCCTAAATAACAGACATGACAAAATACAGCTCGTGGGCAGTGGGGGTGCAGTGATACTTCTCCAGCACAGAAGGGCTTGTGAGGCAATGCAGCCAGGCAATGCTTTACCATCACCTGCTAACGAAACCCCTCTCCTCTCTTGCCACACTGACCTGAGCACAACTGGAAGTGCAGCCAAGAGCAAAGGCAATGGAATGAATGGGCAGCATTTGCTGAGTGACAAATTAAGTAGCACACACAGACAATGGCAATGAAAATAGGAAATCAAACAAACAGCAGCATCCAGGAATACAAGGGGCAAGTGGGAAGAGAAGATGATGCCTATTTGAAAAGGAAATGCTGTGAGGAGTGTGTGGGAACACAGGAAAATCCTCCTGGGGGCAGAGGACGCCAGATGACTGCTCTGGGAGTTTCCTGTTCCCTTTCCTCTCATCCCAAATTTATTGCAACCCCCCCCCCATGAAGGAATGACCACCATGACAACAATCAGCTCATACAGTTAAAGCACCAAGACAGCATGACAACAATGCCAGTGTTCTGTGGAAAGCTAGCCTTGCATACGAAAGACATCCTCCTATGTGGAGAATTTCCCTGAAGGAGCAATTCCCAAATCCCACATGCACGCAGACCAGTGATGACCATGGAAATCCAAAGTGACCCAGCCAGACAGCTAATAGTTACCACACTTCAGACTCTCGCTGTGCCTGTTCTAGATTAATTTTCAGGTATGGATAAGCTCCAGTTAACGCAACATCTGCCGTGCCTGATGCGAGCAGTACAGCTGGAGTCTGTACTGCTGGCAGAGGATTTCTGTGTATGTATGGGAAGTGCTTTTATTCCATTTGTTGAAATGAAATGTGCCTTTTGATCTCCTATTCTTGAAGACAGCAGAGGCTGAAATCGTTATCATCATTGCTACTGAGCAGAGATAAAGATGAAAGAGGAGGGGACGGAGCTACTTCATGTAATGTATGTAACATATGCTCCTTTTCTATCATCACTAACAGGGGAGCTGCTAAGAAATATATAGGCCACATGTTAAAAATAAACCAGGTGAGGCAGCCCAAGACCACTGACATGGGCTTTTCACAACAACATACAGAAGCCCACCCAGGCTGGGACAGAGCACTGAGCCTGCTCCAGGCTTTAGTGGCTCCAAACCTGCGAGAAAATGCAGTATTTTGATATTCCACCATGTTCTTTGACTCTGCATCAACAAGACACCTGGGGAACAAAGAGAGGCTTTTTCTCTCTGCTGAGGTGCCAGAGGAAGGAGCACAATTCAAGTATGAGGGTCTCTGGACATTGCTTTACTCCTCCTCACCATGAGGTATCAGTATTTGGGCACTGGAGAAGAAAATCTTGGCCTTCAGCAATGCTGCTAGAACATCTGCTTTGCAAAGCAGTGGCCTGTGCTACTGTGGAAGCCCCGTTGGGGAGCAAAGCTAGGAGCTTTGCTGTCTGTCATACCAGGGACCATACCAGGGACAGATGACTGTGGCTTGAGGTCAGGGCAGCCTCACTGTCGTGCCACCTCTGTCTGGGCAGGCAAAGAAACCACATTAGGGTTTGAGTGTCAGCCACCTCCAAAAGTTCTTCCAAACAGAGGGCAAAGTATCTCATATCAGTGTAGAGCACCTCCTCCAATTGAGCTTGTCCCTCTGAGGAATTCCTCCACTTTCTTGGAGGGTTACTCCTTAGAAATCTCTTGGAAAGGAAAGATGGGGCTACAGTTCAGAGAGACAGAGGCGCCAGCTCAGTCCCAGAAAGCCCATTAGCACTAACGAAAGCAATAGCTGGTTTGATCTGTAATGCTGATGGACTGCATTGCTCTTCTGCAAGGATACAGAAACAAAGCTACCACCAGCCTTGGAGTTCTCACAGGACAGCTGAGAAGATGAGAAGGAGGAGGAGAAAAGCCTGGTTTTCCTACTGAGCCTGCCTATGAATGTAGAAATCCAGGGCCCAGAGAAAACTGGAACATAAAAGCCTGAAACATGCAAGTTTTACTCCTCCAGCTGTCATGGACTCGTCCCTGTGCTGAGCTTGCAGATGCCTGAGCTTGCTTCTATTCTGGTTAAGGAATTAAAGTTTCCCAAAATTCCCTCAATGGGAATACTCTAAATGCACTAAATGTTGTTTTATTGAGCACTGTGGTCTTTTTCAACTGCACACACTGGCAGGTAACACTAGCTCTAATCTCCTTTGTTGCTGAAAGTTCAGGCACACTATTGCATTTGGGATTACACGGGATCAATGTGGTGGGATGCCCAAGACGATGACCCCAGTATCCCTGCTGGCACAACTCCCCGGCACGTGGCAAATACGGTCTTCCCAACTTAATGCTGACTAACAGAGATATAACTACTGCTGCTGGCTGATCCAGGGAGCAGAACACGTAGCCACACAAGCAGGCACACATTTGGCTTGGTGTCCATGCTCCTCTTGCACATGCTGTGGCTGCACAGCTCAGAAGCCATCCTCCAGCAGCTAATAACCAGCATCCACATAGATAGAGCTGCACTGGCATTCCTAATCAATGGCCAATACAATTCACAGAAAGCAAGCACACCATTTCAAGCAGGGCCCAGTAACTCCCATCTTCCTTTTTCCTCTGCTTTGCTTTAGACATACCACTAATGTCACACAGTTTCTCATAAACCTTCAGGTGTATTTACTAACACTGGAGCAGCAAGCCTTCATATTCCCACTGCAAAACCAGGTTCTATTAGTACAGCAAATACAGCTGTATCACCCAACATTAGAGGAAATTTACAACAAAAATATTTTAACACTTAAAAATTAACCTACAATGATTCCCTTGCATGTAAAATCATGATCCCAGGGATACTGTTGGATTGGGCTGTTGAAATCACCACTCTGAAACTGTCAGTTAACAAAATTTACTCATTTTTGCTACATTTTAAAAATGCAGATGTGTGACATACTGGTTAGCACAAGGGCTAGTATTGCTGGCTTGATGAAACCTGTTAATGTGCTATGTGGAAAAGCCAATCTTTCCATCTCTTAGCACCACACCACTGCTAAATGTCCTGGCAAAGTCTACCAAGACTTGGGAAAAACAGATCTCACTTTTGAAGTTATTCTGTCACTATGACCCTGCCTTGGTGGTGTGACAAAAAGCTGTGCGTTACACCTTGTCAAAAAGCAGAGAGTCTGACACGGCTGCACACCAACAGGCAGCTCTGAAATCAAAGTAACTGCCTGCAAGCAGGTAACAACCACCCACCTGGATTATCTACAGCGATGAACTAGTACACTGCATTCCAATGTACATGCACCTATGCCTCAGTCTTATGGAGCAGGCAACCGTTAGAGTGGAAGCTTGGACCTCAGTGTTTGTTCTGCTTGCTAGAGGGAGGTGCAAGTTACACACTGATAATGCGAACTGCAGTTACACGTAACTTGCTTTGCCCTTTGAATTGCCTGAGAGCTCCATCTTGTTGCTCCATCATCACCACTGTAATTTCTGAATTCATCCTGGTTAGTCACACTTTGCAGAAGTGTCTCCTGCCTATCAGGATGCCCTTGGTTAGGTGAGGCTGTTGCTCCTGTGCTGCTTTAGCAGTTATGGAAGAAGTAGAAATCTACACTCTGGGATGTGCAGGGGCTAATATTGAAAATCTCTTGCTCAGTGTGGCATCAGTATGCAAAGCACAAAACATAACTGCAGACAGGCCCTAATCCTAAAAATCACGACTCTGATGGAATTCCCAGTGCCTGCTGTGAGGACCCCATGCGAATAAGAAACTACCAACCAGCTGTGCTGCAGAAACACAAAGCTGCAAGTTGCCCAATAGTGAACTTAATTTTGCAACTTCTTTTCCAAGCTGCAAGGGTATATTTTTATGGGTTTTGAACGATGAATAACAGGTCCTGTCCCAGCTCGGTGCAGTGCTTGCAAATAGAAGATTTAAACACGTTGACATCAGTAAGGTGGGGCTTTTTGTTGTTCTTTTTTTGGGTATACTTCATATTTAGGACTCAGCCTAAATGCATTTCCCCCTGCATGAACTCTTGCAAAGTAGTGGGTGAAAACAGATCTCTTAACCCCACTAATTCCTCGAGACTTACATCTTGGCAAAGAGAACTCCTTAAAAGTCATCAAGGGGACATTAAACAAAGCAATATTTTTCAGAAGGGCTTGAAATAATTTTCCATGTGTGTATTTTGTAGTTTTTCAATCACTTTAACTACTTTGTTTTCTTCTCTCACTTGTTGAGCAACAGATGCACAGAAAAGGGAAACAGAGAACATGACTATTTGCAAAACACTGCCAAGTGTATGAAACAAACATACTAAATTTGAAAATAGCGATTTTGCTTTCTCCTAAATTCAGAGGACATGCAATTGAACAGGCTGTATCTTTTATCTACTGCTACTACATTTTCAGGGAGGCCTCATCTTTCAAATCTGGGTGCATCTGACTGCCCTGGAGTATGAAATGCTCTCTCTACAGCACAGGCTGGACCAAGCACATCAGGTAACTGTCCAGCACGGCAACCTCCAAATGCTTTCCTGCACGTTTCAATACTAGCTTTTTAATTAGGGCTTCCCCTTATCAGCTATTTCACACTGAGTAAGCGTCCTGCACCTCTAAATGGGGTCACAGCCCTTCTCAGATGGGACTGATGTGCACACAAGCTACCTATGGAAGCACACCCATTCTGCAGCCTGCCTCGGGCTCACCAATCCTCAAGACAGCCGGCTGGTGTGCTGACTCAGAGGAAGACTGCCATGTACTGAATCACACCTCTGCCACATCCTGCAGCACATGGGATTTTCTTTGGGAGCCTCTCAACCGGTATTATCAGGCTTTTAAGCTTTCACTGGAAACTGAATACAATATGGAGTGGCTACAGGCCAACACTGAGCTTTTAAAAGGTTTCTGACCAAAACTTGAGAGAGAGCGACAGAAGCAAGAAAGAAATTCACTCAGTGCTGGCCAAAAAAGCATCTGCCTCATACCCGAAGATGACACAAGCAAGCTCAGTAAGAAGCAACTGCAGCTACTTAGACAAGGCAGTGAGCACAACAACTGAACTCCCTAGACTTTTAAGTGCTAATGCCGTTGGGGAAGGCATCTGAGCTCCACAGAGGCCATGTGTTCTGAGCTAGCTGTTTCTTCTCTTTCTGGGCACCTAGCACAAACTCATTCTCGAAGTCAGTATTAATTCTAGAGCAGCTGAAAACTCAGGTGCAAACCAACCCACGAGGACTGCTAAAAACCAACAAGGTGATTTTTTCAACAGTGGAAGTCTGAGCGAGACTTACCTTATAGTTTGACCAACAAACTATAAGGCAGAATGCAGCGTTTAAGTGCCCTGGGTTAGGATTTGGGTTGGTGACCACTGCTAGCACCCAAACGACCACCCATTGAAGACAAGTTTCAGGTGATGCTGGAAGGAGTCCTTCATCCCCGTTCACCCTGCAGGCCAAGGCAGCTCATGGGCCTCAGCAGAAGGAGGGTGTCTGGGCAGAGGGAGCGAGGGTGGGGAGGGAGGCAGTTGCATGTTCTCACCTGAGGCCGCTGTAGCGTTTGTAGGGGTTGAAGCAGCTGCTTGGTTCCGGGCATGAGCAGGGATGAGGATCGAAGCCAGAGATGGGTTACTTGACAGTTCTGGAGGGGAGGTGGAACAAAAACAGTTAGCTCATCTTCCACGAAGAGCCCTGCATGCAGTTTCAGCTCCTTGGGCTCCCCCCGTAACAGCAACCTTGGGTGAAATGCATGCCCTTACAGCCAAAGGTCATGTTACGTTTTCTTCTTTGCCGGCCAGCAAGAGGAAACCACAGCGATATTCAGCAAAGCAGTCTCCAGAGCAAGACTGTCAGAACTACAACTACTACTACAGAACTGCAGTAGTGGTGCATGGGAATTGTTTCCTAGAGAAAGACTGCAGCTTGGGAGTTAGCAAAGAACCAGCCAAGCCTGTTCCTTATCAGCAGCCTGATAATGCTGTTTCCCTCTAAGCACTGGAAGGATTCCCTTCCCAAACCCACTTGCAATCAGTCTTAAGAAGGCTGATAACAGTGGTGCTGCTTTGGGCACAGGTTCAGCAAGCAAGCAGCTCCAAAAGTTGCTCCAAGAGCTTCAGGGATTTAGCCCTTAGCATCACTTTCTCAAGGACCCAGGAACCCAAGACCAGTCTCCTTGAGCGAGGCCAAGAAGAGGCACAGGGAAAAGCAAAGGGAATTGATCATCAGGGCAATTTAAATGGACAACAAAATGATGCAACCATTCTTTCTGAAGACATTAACCAAGGCAAAAATAGTCGTATCTTTTAGGCTCCAAACCTAATATAGCTTCAACGTGTATCAGAATGAAAAATAGGCATCTTATAGCCCCAACTGTGGGAGGATAAGGGCTACATATTGCCAACAAATTACAATCTTCTGGCACCCTTTCAAGAGAATCTAGTGCCTCACAGAAGGTGGAACTGAGCAGACAAGACAGGTCCCGTTTGTTTCAGAAACAGGCGTGACTGGCTGCCTTTTGAGAAAGCAGCATCCAGTGAGAAGGATGTGAACAGTCACCTCACAGAAAGACTGACAAAATTTGGAGCTCCAGGAGGTCATCTGGAGGAGAAATGAGAATAGACAGGTTTTTACATAAGACCTCCAGATACCAAGGGCTGTCCATATCACATCATGTGTTCAGTTTTGTACAAAGTTTTCAATTATTTGTGCTTATTTCCAAGAGCCTATTGCTTTTCTTTAACACAAGTTTTAAACTTAGGGCCTAAAGAGATCAGAAGTCTACTCAGCAATTTCATTTTTTCCTCTGTTAAGTTACATGAAGTTTCTTTACTGCTGTGAGGGCAAGAGGCAGAAGACTCACCTGCTCATTACTACACATTCTGAGACTGTGTTTCAGCACTTACGAATATAAGCTCCAGTCTAGAACCAAACAGAAGTTGCTACATTACCTGCAACCCATCCAATCTATCCTGTAATTCTCCACGGCCGTTTCAACAGACCTAGCTACTCCATCTAGAAAGCTCCAATATTCACAACATTTGTACAAATACTAATCCTCAAATTCATGTGGGAATAATTCACAATTATCTGTAATATAATTCAGCATTTATAAGTCTCCAATTTAAATGGAAAAATAAACTGAAGAAACATGACTCCTCAAGCGTCAATGCTGAACAGCAGTGATAAACCTACACTTTAATATTACCTTGGATATTAGCTGCTCTGTGCTAGAAAATGTTGCTCCTTTAATATTTTTTCCAAGCTGTTTCTCAAATGTATTACTGGGAACCTCCTACTTACCTCACTTCTTGAAAGTTTTTATCATCCCCTCATTATTTTCTGCTCATCACTGACAGCTATGACCCAAACAAAAGCAGAGCTAAACCATCAAGGAAACCAAATGACATTTGCTACCTTCCAGTGCTAAGTGGTGCCTTGAGGATGCAGCTATAGATTGTCTGAATTACTGTAGCCACAGATGCAGCTGATCCAACAGAATACCACCTTTGCAAGGCACTTCAACCCCATTCTCATTCCTCCCATACATTCACCCAGTGTCCTCAGAACACCACCTTTTGTAGCACCCATTATGGCACGTATACCAAGTTTTGTTGGTTTTAAGGCAAATGCAACCATTTCTCTGAAGCTACCTTCAAGAATGTGCATAGAGGCTACAAGACTCATCTTGTTCCCTTCTCAAACCCCACATTATCTTTCTTGGTATGAAGTTTCTTAAAATTCAGCATGCTCTGAATGTCTTGATGCTTCACTCAAAGGAGCAGGTTAATTCAGACAAGAAATAATCAAAGTAAATTGAACTCTTGGCTGAAGTTTAATAGCAGCTTTGCTTGAGAACTTGGCTGAATTTTTGTTCTGTCATATTTTTGCTGCTATCACATCTGTAAGGATGAGAGATGTCAATACCAAGGAAGAAGCTTGACCTGTGGTATCTGCAGTTGACAAAGTACTGAAGACAAACTGTTGAACTGTAGCTTGCTTATCTAATCAAACTTGTAACTCAAGGTTGGGTTAATTACAACCAATACTGCTGCTGCAAGGAGGTATTGTGGTCAAGGCAATCCAGACAAAGCTTTCAATACCATGATGTGAACAGAACCACTATCCCAATTCATTTATGAGACCCAAGCCCCATTTACATCAGCTGGGAGAATACCTCTGGCTTTCTCCTGATCAAATCATGCCATCTGCAGCCAGTTTACATATCCAGTAAGGAGATGTATGCCTGGGATGTGAATGAAAATGTCCACGTTACTTAGAACACCAGATCATCTTCATTCCCCAAACACAAGAAAATGCTTGGTCTTGGGAAACAATGCACTGCTCTTTATCAGCATTGTTACATTTGATTTACCAACATTCCCATAAGCCCCTGAAAACAGTCTTGTATCAGTTTGCTTTGTGACAATAACAAACTTTCCATGTAACTCAGGTTGTTCCAGCAGTTTCACCTTCACTTAGGAGAGTGCTGGACTCAGTGCAAGTTTCATTGTGTCCCACTGTCCCCTCTATGACCTGAGCAGAAATACTGTCTAAAAGAAAAACCCAGATGGCACTCATAGTACACTGAAACAGTCTGGTCAGAAATGCACAATAACTATTCCCAAGTGCTCAATCACAGAAGAATTTTACAGTATTTCATGGCCAGTATGGAGTGACAGTAACATTTGTGACCCAGCTCAACCACCCGACATGTTACAAGTTTAGGAAATGGGAGTCATTTCACGGATTGTTTGAAAATTCAGCTTCTAAGAGAAAAAATGCTTTCTGTGCTTTCTGTCTTGCAAGTCTAACAGCCACCCAACTGCAGCTCTGTGGCCAGTGGAGGTAACTCTCTGGCCAAAACACTCTCTTCAAACCCCAATTAATGTATAATATTGGTTTAAACAGCAACAGGAACTTACAGGTAAGACATTAATAATAACCAGATAAAGCTCTCTTCGAGAGATCCCATCTCTTCAATAAGGTAAGCACCAACATGTCCCACAACTACTGCTGGCAGCCAAAGACCATGATCTTTATCTTCCATATACTCTCACTTATTTTTCTAGACTCTATCTGAGCAGCATATCATATGAGTACTCATATCAGCAGATCTGGTGGGACACTTCAGTTCTTTCTGAAAATCAATCCAGTGGTCAGATTTATGTTGTTATTTCTAACAGGTTTGCCTTCAAGCCTTCTGCAGCTACCTCTTACTTCATAGGTTTCAGACAACTGGATATAGCCAAATAAAACATTTCTAAAACTTAATATTATCTGTTGAAAACACATGTGCCTCAAAACAAAAGGGTGTCTTTCATCACTTTTTAAATTACCACAGGTGACTTAACATGAGTCATCATTTGATTCCAATAACTGGATCTATTTCCCAGTTGGGATTTTTGCTCTGGACTAGCCAATTCCACAGGACCTTGCACAGTCTGGCTAAAGAGCAAGGATTGCAGAATAGTCACAGCAGGAGCAAAAGCTTCTTGTGTATCTTCAAATCACAGAATCATTTAGGTTGGAAAAGACCTTTAAGATCATCCAGTCCAACCATTAACCTAACACTGCTAAGTCCTGCACTAAACCATGTCACCAAGCACCAGAGCTGTCTCTTAAACACTTCCAGGGATGGTAACTCCACCACCTCCCCGGTCATAATCAGGACTGCTGCTATGCAAGACTCACTGATGCACATTTATTAAATACAAAGGTCTTAAAATCACTGTGCTAAGCAATGTAATAACTTATTATAAAAAAACCCCAACCAACTCTTGCTATCTGAGTTTGGCTGGTCACCTACAACAGAGCTTATCTAAAGGTGTTCACGGCCAGCCTCTGTCCTGCCTTCCCTTCTAAGATGGTGAAACTGGCACCTGCCCATGACAGAAACTTGCTTTTTTGAATCTTAAGGAAATTGCTCCATGAGATCTGACCTCTCTTGTCACTTCGTGAGTCACTGTGCAAGGGGAGAGCACATCAGCTCCTTAGGAGGGCAAAGGAGCTTTAAATTTGCTTAACATTAGGGTAGCTTTCCCAGCAGTTTCCACACTGACTAAGGGGGAAACCAGGGACACGTTCCCAATACATAGATTTATTTTTCCCCTAAGGATTTTTAAGGAGAGTCACTATAAAGACTCCCAACCCTTTCTAAAATCCTGGTTTTCATGTAGTAGATAAGCCCAATCTTAACATCACTAAGAAGCAATAAGAAATAATGTCAAAAAGAACAGGGGTGAAGTGGTATTATGACACTGGGAACAAAACCATCTTAGCTACTGAAGATGGCCTTCAAGTGGGCAGAAAAGGCAATTCCTGGGTACTGTAACAAGGAAGGACCTGCAATGTAGCTACTAAATTCGTAACAGCAGATGTAGAAATCAGCACAGAGGACAGTGACCTGCAAGCACAAGCTCTTTTCTTAATCGCTTTAAGGTGTTCGTGCTTTGGAAATGTTTTAGCATATTCAATGTATTTACCTTCTGCAAGGCAGCCACCCAAAGCAAGTTAAAAGTTTATTTCCAGGCAGCTTAAAATGCTACTCTGTACAGATACAAAACTTTTTGGCTCTCTCCCTGCTGCCCTTGTTTTTTGTTTTTAAATGAAAGGGTCCACATGTTGAAGGAGAGGGCTCTGTTTCACAGTTTGGCAGATGGGCACTGCACGCACTAAAGAGTTTGGAAAATTACACTGATGCTAACTGAGGCAAAAGGTGTTTTAGACTTTCAACAGAAAATGCACATAGATCTATTCTTGCTCAAAGGATGAGAATTGGCAGCTTATCGCTTCAAACAAGCTCCAAAATTAATTACTAGCATATTTGTATGCCATACTTCTCACATTCTCTGTCTTGGCAGGCAAAACTGTTCTAGGGGGATATCAGTTTTACATTTTTTACTTGCATTGAAAAAAAAAAACCAACTCAAACCACAAATCAATGGTTTTAAAATTTGATACTGGTCTGGCTTCAAATAAAAAGTTAGTTGCCTGTCATTTTTACAGTTTCTAAATGACTGAGTCTATGTGATGCCAGATAAACTGTATAGAACGTAAAATCAGGTCACTTAACACCTCTGTATTTATCTCGTAGCCAAAGCCAAAATGGGCAGCAACACTACAAACCTCCCTGCCACATCTAATATGCATTACTCCTCGCTATGGCATTTCAGGTACGACGGAGCAGGATTACCTCCAAATGATAATCTGATCTCCATGGTCCGCTGACTGCGATACTTCACACAAAGCCAGCAGCCAGGCGGCAGACACTGAACTGCAAATGTAAGACTTCTTGATGCAATCCAATAGGAACAACCCTTGGTATGCTGCATGAAATTTGAACTGAAGGCACCAGGCATCTGAAAATCCCATAACCCTTTTCTCCAAAGTCCCTTTCCTCTCTTCTTTTTGAAGCAGACAGCTGGTTATGGAACCACTTAATAACCTTAGTCCTGGTCAGAGACTTTTACTTTTGGGGGAGTGACACCTGCATCACAGCAAACATTTATGCAAGTGCTCCGTCCTAAAGAAGGGACCCTTCAACGCTCACAGGCTACCTTGAGTGGTGAAATTGAAGAGTGCAGGTTTCTCTCGCCCATTTGGTAACTTGACATTTGGGTCCCGTAGTTCATCGAAGAAAGAGTGCGCACAGGCCTCCAGGGGAGTCAGGCGGGCAGTGGGGGTGTACTCCAACAGACGGCTACATAGCGCGATTGCTTCTGGTGGAGTGCGGGGCCGGAAGACCTAAAACAAGACAAAAAGAGAAAACAAGCCAGGAGAAACAGGTTGTCTGGGTATGTTTCTTTTCCATGCTGACAAGAAGCAAGTCAGAGCAATTAAACCTCTCATTGCCCAACGAGCTGGAAGAAAGTTGTGGTTTATGCTAATCAAAGTCCTCCAGTAAGCATGGGAAAATCCAGTTCCTGGGGTTGAGAAAGGGTTAATTGCAACGTCTTGCACTAGAGTGAAGGTGCAATGCCAGCAAGAGACTTCATGAGAGCGCACTCAGAAAACAACTTTAAGAATGAAGGGGAAACTCATTCAAAAATCATGACACAGAGGTGCTTTCAGCCATGCACATGGGGTGGAGTGGAGGTGGGGAGGAGGGTTCAAATGAGCAGGATTCACTGAATGTAAAAATTGAATAAGCCCCCCACTATGGTTTCGGGTTGGGGTTTTTTTGGCTACTGAATGAAGTCTTACTAACACAGACTTTTGCAAGCAGGCAGGTCAGATTGTTGCTATGGAGGCTGCTGTTCAACTTTGGAGAACAACAAGGAAAGCATGGGTGGGGCACAGGAAATGTCTTAGCTCTAATTTACAAGTTAGTTCTTCTGTGACCTTATTCTGGCAAGTCATTCCCATAAGTTTATCAGGATAATTCCTGCACATTTGGTATTTGTAAGGACAGCTGAAAACTGCGTCAAGAGAACCAACTATCTGACTCTAACAGATTTTTACCTTGAGTGATTACAAATAGGAGTTCTTCACTGCAGCTTTGTTTTAATCCTCTAAGAACAGTTCCTACCAACTGCTAATCACACCCTCGTCTTCCTTTCTCATTATGTCAAAAGCAAAATATGAGCTAACATGATGTGGATGGTCCCCTCAAGTACTTCTGCCTTGCTATGTTGCAGGTGATATGCAGGCTGGGGAAAAGGGAGTGGGGTGGTTGCAAGTGTTAAATTCTGATGCCAGCATTTTTGGTAAAAACGGAGCTAATCCAAAATGCTTTTGCCCCGCTGCAGGTGAAACCAAGCCACACAGCACCAAGGAGCAAAACAAGAAACAAATACAATTTCAGTGCATGACATGCTCATTAATCACAGATGAGGAACTTGCACAGGCACTTCTTAAGTAGGTTTTAAACCAAAGACACAAATGCTCTCTTGAATGAGAATGAAACACAAATGCTAAGTTCCCCAGAGACTGAAATTTTATCCCCTGGGTGCCCAGCTGGCCTGGGAGCACCCAGGACTGCTGCAGTGTGTGCTGTACTAACTGGTGTGGCAGGGAATCCTGACTCAGGGAGCCAAAGAGCCAGGTACCGAAAAAGCACAATTTATTTCTACTGGGTTATTGCAAAACAAACCAAAAAAGTTTTCACATGAGGCCTACAACGACAAAAAGAAAGGCAATAGCTTAACACTGCTGGCAAAGAACTTGGGCTGACCACCGTGCTGTGAGCATACAGAGCGGCAGCAGAAGCTACCAGCAGAGCTTGGACTGCTGACCACAGCGCACAGTGGATGCCAAGTGTCACTCCCAAGCCATGGCCTGATCAGAACAAAATCTAGCAAAAAAACCCAAACCATCAGCTCTTTTCACTTTTTGCCCCTCACTGAGTAGCACAAATGAGTATGTCTTGAGGTAAATCCACCAAAGAGAAGTAACTTGGTATTTAACATGAGGGTAGAACTACCGAGATCTCCCTCCTGAACCTTCACAGTCATGTTGTAACAGGCTTGATTTACCACAGCTTCAGACTGAAGTACTTGACTCTTGGCTGTGTTTTTCCCTCAGGACAGCTCACATATCAGCTATTATACAGATTTTAAAAAGGAAAAAAAAAAAGTAGTATTTTTCCTTAAGGCAAATATGAGAAGTACGTTGAGCACATTAGAAAGCGGTCACCAATCTGCCATCTGTAGAAGGAGTGCTCCTTTGTCCACTCAAACTCATTTTCAAGTCAGTGAAACCCTAGCGCCTGTTTCCTAAACCCTATTGAGAATTGTTCAGCCTACCTTTGGCTCTGAAATGAGTTACTTGGGGTTGGCAATTCCTGAAGCCTGCCCTGACTGCTTCAAACCAGGGAGGTGGGGAAGAAATACATGGAAAAGGAAGGCCTCACATGGCCTCCCCTACAACAAGCAGTGACTAACATGAAGCGAGTTACGGTCGGTACTCATCTCATCTCTGTCACCTTGCATGTTACAACATTTGCCTCGCTGCTGCCTCAAAGATGTGGTTTGAACTCAAATATACCACTTTTTCAAGGCTAGGCCTAGTAGTTTGAAAAAATGTTTAAGTACATACCCGTACTCCTGAGGTGAAATGTCCTGTTCCTGACGAGTCCTAAAGATGATAATGCAGTGAAATAATCCAAACAGGGGGAGTCAATCCAAAAGAGAATAGTCCAGCAAGGAAAAATATAGCCAATATTATAAGAAATCCATGGTGTGGGGGACATAGAAAATGTTTAAACAATTAGAAACTTTAAACATCAGTCTCCATAGCAGCAAGTCCAACTTCACCACAGTGTATGCCAAAAAATTGATTGTGCAATGGTGAGGCATAGTATAGAAACATTTCTATATTAAATTTATGTTCCAATGCCAGTGCATTTACTAAAAAAATAAAAAAAATTGAAATCAAAACTCTAACTTGAACTAAAAGGGTAATTGAAATTCCCATCATAAAGAATTTTCAGTCCTTGGTCCTGGATATAAACGTCCACAGACAAATGGGGCCAGGTTAGTTTGTCCCCAAAGGTGCATCCCACTGGTAAGTCTGTCCCCAGAGACACAATGTAAACTTTTGGGTGGTTTTGGTTTCTTTTCCCAAAAGTACCCAAACCCCTAGCAATTTGTAATTTGTGCTGAAGAGAAAGGAAAAATCCGAGAACTCTACTTTTGAATTTGGATGCTTTTAATTTGCGTGAGCTACGAGTGCCTCAGGCCGCCGCGGATTATTCTCCATTTTGGATTGACTTCCCCCGCCACTGGATTTTGTTTGCTGGCGTTATCTCTTTAGGATTCTTCAGGAACTGGACGTACCACCTCAGGAGTGCGGGTATGGACTGAATTGCTCTCTATTGTGGGTTTATTCCCCCTCATACCCATCGCACCTGTTACTTAAGGATTTTTTTTCCCCTCAATTTGTCCCCTCCCGCCTCGCTTTCGAATAACACCCTGAGAAATAAAAGCAAAACCTCCTGCGGTCTTTTAGCTCTTCCCACTCAATGCAGTTCCACCAGGAAAGCTGTCCAATTCACCCACGGAGAACTACACGAGTGGCTGCGGCCCGCAGCAATGGGTACACCAGCACTTCCATGCCACGGAGTGCCAACGTCAGGGCAATGTCAGGCTGGCACTCCGTGGTGGGAGGACAGGCAGACAGTGGGACCTATAAGCCGTGAAGCCCCTTGCATGTACGGCTCAGCAGGAGTTTTGGGTCTCTGTAGTTCTCAGTGAGAGAATTGATTTAGTAAATAATCCGCGGATTATTTTTAGTCTGCGGACTAAAATTTAGTGCACGGACTAAAATCCGGCCCATGGAGCAAAGTCTGTCTCGGTCTAAAATACATCTGGGTGAAAGCAAAAGAAAAATAGAAAATAATTAAAAAAAAAAATAAAAAAAGGAAAGAAAAAGGAGAAAGGAAAAATAAGGAGAAAAAAAAAAGCTAAGTGCACAAAGTAAAGTGTTTGGGCAGACTAACATTTAGTATGCAGACTAAATATGGCCGGGCAAAAGGCACAGCAAGTCCACAAACAGAAGAAAAAAGAACCAAAACTAAAACACTGACAGGAACTTTTAAAGCATTCAAATACTACCCCACCGGCGCAGCAATTCATTTTTCTAAAATGAAACAAGACCTTGGGTAAGGTTATTTGTCCACAGGAGGGACCGAAGGCTCAAGTTTTCATTTTAAAAAATGAACCTGTTTTGGAGATAAACAAATGCAAAAAAAGAAAAAAAAAAAGAAAAAAAAGAAAAAAAAAAGGAAAAAAAAAGGCTTTACATACAATATTCTTCAAGGAAAATTTGCACTTGTATAACTCAAACCCTCTTGTTTCTGCAAAGCAAATGAATTTGAGGCTGAGACCCAGGCCACTGGCTGTTTTGGTTTTTGGTTGGTTGGGGTTTTTTTTGGATGAGTTGCAAAAATCTCCATGATTTGATCATGTCAGATGAAATGCTGACTCACCAAAGCCACAGCTTTTGGGTTCCAGGCTTTTATTTATTTTTTTTTTACTTCCGATCCCAATAAATCTATACCCCACCAAAAGGCTGAAGGACCAATGCAAGTTCTTTCTTTGTTCAGGCATGCTGGTGACGCAGAAATACTGACAGACCATATCAGCTAGACAGCAAGGCCAGACACACTCCTCTCTCCTTTCTACGTTATGCTGCCATCAATGCCATTTATTTTATGCTACTCCCCCTTCATTTATCTGGAACTACCACCTTCAACATTTCAAACACAACTGCCAGGCTTAACTGCCCCTGGTGCACTACGTAGCTCTCAACCCCAAGCGACTTCAATTTAGATGAAGTCTTTGTGCACTAGAAGCGC